CACTAGGTATTTAAGTATCTTTACGACCACTACTCCACTTTTCACTATCTTAGCTAGTAAACAGAGTGATTACTAATCACGAAGAACACTTTACTAGACACGCTAGTTAAATCAACTAGGAAATTCTTTCAGTGTACTTGCATGTGCATCATGATAAAACAGCTGAAAATAAGAACCTTAAATTAATTAAAACTTTCTGTAAAAACTTGTTTGTTTGACCTGATTAAGATGAACCGACTTAAATCTTTTAAAACCTTCAAATTATTCATTTCAGAATTTTCTCATGCAATCAACAACTTTTTTTAATTTCAGAAATGCTTTCAATCTTATTCAACATTTCCGACAAAAAGAAAAAAATCGACCTACCTACCGACGCAATTTTTTAAAACTGAATAGAGAGTTCTAGAGGGCAAATAAACTTCATTTTAAAAACGGCCTTACGGGAAATTTTAACCACCCAACCTTTTACATGTATTTCCGTGTTCCGTACTTCAAGGGTTCTTTGACCTTTTGATTAAAATATATTTCTGTGACATATTAAGAAAGTATTACATCTAAAAAAAAAATCCAAAATTTAAGCTAAAACTACTAGCCTGTTATAAAAATCCATACCCTCTGATACTAAAAGATGCTTCTGTCATAGAAATATATTTTAATCAAAAAGGTCAAAGAACCCTTGGAGTAAGGAACACGGAAATACGAGGGTTGTTAGAAAAGTTCGCGGACAAATTGAATAATGGAAAATCTATAGTGTTCGGTGAAGTATGACCTATGTCTGAATAAATTACTACATTTTGATTATTAGTATGTAAAAAATCAGGTCCATATAATAAAATCTTGAAATTTTACAACTATTTTTACTATGGAGTCATGGGATTCACGGAGCAATCACTTGACGTAAGCGACGTGACAACCATATTTCAACCCGTTAAGCTTTGTCGCAGTTATATTTATAAATCTTTCATTTCTTAGATTTTTCTCATCTTTTTTCTACTTTAAAATTGAATATCTACATGTTACTTTTCTACTATAATGTCTTTTGTACTGATTCGTATATTATTGAGATCGTAAAAAATAAAAAAAAAGTCTATGCAGTTAATCGATCAGGTTTGGAAACTATGCAAAACCATATAGACGCAACGCAACGTCCATGCCATAAGGGGGTATTGAAGTATCGATGGAGTTAATCATTCAAAATGTCCCTCCTTCCATTCTTATGAAGCTATAACCATTTGAAAATTTGTTCTTTGTATGTGTAGGAAATTCCCTGCAGCATCTTGAACATTTTAATCTCTTTATAGGCATTTTCCTGTCTGCACACATAATTTCTACGTAGTGCAGTGCTCCATGACGTTCCGATTTTTGGCTGTCTTTTTACGCGTTGATCATTTATAAACGGCTATAAAACAGTCATATACCATCCAATTTAGTTCAAAATTTCCCCCAGTGACGTTTCCTGCATACTTAAGCGGCAGGTAAAATATCATAAATCTCTTTGCGCTACAATTGTGCGATTTTTAATTTTAATAAAGAGTCTTTGTGATGTATACGTGCCAAAATGTAGCATGCTCCGTGAAGCAAGGTTTATCAAAATAAAAATGCTGTATATTTTTTACAGTAATCACCGGAGAGCACCAAATTCTTGTATATTTATTGGAAAAAAGGTAAAGATTTTATCTGGAAAGTTTGACCGGTTTCGTGGAAATAGCGCGCTCACAATAGAACTTGTCCGCGAACTTTTCTAACACCCCTCGTACATGTAAAAAGGTGGGGGGGGGGGGGTGCCGACCCCAAGCACCTGTGAGATACTTTACAGAAATGATTGAGACAGCTACCTAGCCTGCCTACATTGAACTCATTAATTAATTTTGATCAGGATGCATGAACACTACAGTCCCTGAAACGTTCTACTTGCCCACCTGAACGGTGAGCGAACGCTGATGAAAGAACGGTGAACGAATGCAGAGCGAACGGTAAGTGAACGGTGTGTGAACGCTGAACGCAACTTGGTGAACGATGTGTGAACGGAGAACAGTGAGTGAACGCAGAACGCGAACGGAGCGCAAACGGTAAGCGGCGAACGAACGGTGAACGCAAGATGAACGATTTATTCGGAATGTCTCCGATTTTTTCCTTACATTGAAACTATTCTGTTGAATTTTAATGTTAGGTTCTAGAATATAAATAAACATTAAATAAATAAATGAATAAATAATATTAAAACAAATTTTTCTGCACATACGTATGATGTTTTAAATCAATATTTTAATAAAATGATTTTTATTACCGCTAAACATGTGTAAATGTTACCGAACATGTGTAGTATAAAAGATAAAATAAATCTACTAATAAAATAAATATGCTTATTCTTTTAACTAATAAAATAAAGTAGACTCCAATAGAGAAAAGTACTACTTATAGAATGAATTAATTATATTTTACCACAGTTGTAAAAACCATATACATGTATTATATATTTCGGTGCCAAGGCGATTCCGTGTAAAATAACGATTATTTTCTTATTAATTTACAAAGGTCAGTTAACGTATTGCATAAATACACTCCGTATTTTAAAATTTTAATGTTATATATTTATGTGTCATTTTTATTTTCTTGTGATTATTTTTTTTTAACAAATTAAAGTCATATTTGTAACATGTACATGTATATCAGTAGACATTTGCCGTCCGTGATTATACTCGGACAAGATAATGGCAAGAGGCATTCAAATTATTTGTATAATATATTTTCAGAACTAAATAAGTAATATGCTGTCATAGTTTTTAATAAACACAACAAATGAAAGAGAAAGAGAGACGAGAGAGAGAGAGAGAGAGATTTAAGCCACTTCCATTCTCAGATATTTGTTGTATCTAATAAAAATTCATATTTTTTTCTAAATATTCCAGGCAGTCAAAGTAATCATTTTTGGAAGATTAACAAATCCGTTTGACAATAGGCATCGGCTTTAATTTTCCTTCATCAAGTTCACACGGTTCACTCGAAGTCCACGTGCTTGTTCTGTCAATCAAAATCATTCGACACAGGGGTGGAGGTGTGGAAATCTCGTTTCACCTAACATACGGAAGTCAAAGAGTCACTTAGTATTTCAAAGAAATTTTAACATTTTTTACATAATTTATACATCTGATTTTCGCATTTCTACAGAAAAAAAAATAATGAGAAAATTGGAATTTACACCTGGAAGGATTAAGTTTGAAATTGAATTTGAAACATAATCCCTGCCACTACTGTTGGCACATGTATATTTTGAAACACTATTGTTAATTAATGACTGTACGTTTTGACTAATTTTCTTGTGTCACATGCAATACACATTAGATATTAATTAAAATATACTGACAATACTAACCAAGAATTTGATTTCGGGAGAAAAGGCGCGGGGGGGGGGGGGGGGGCTTATTAAATCATACTGAATGGCAAACATGTGTATATTTAGTTACGGTAAAGGAAGGTATTGATTTTCCTCTCTAATAATAGACCTTATAAAAAGAGTAGAACAAATTCTAATGTATAACATTTTAAACAATTGGTTTTTTTTCCCCTAAAATTTAAAATCACACTATCAATTTAATTTGATTTAAAGATATTCAATTAACTGAATATCTGCAGTACTGTTCATAATTTTAATGTCTACATGTAGTTCCATCATGTTTTCGTGCATTTTTTATATACTTGTTAAAAATATTTTATTTTGTGTATTTTTGTCTTGTAAAAAAAATGGATTATTAACCATCCGTAAACGATTTGTCGTCTTTTACATTACAACAAACAGACAGACAAACGGACATGAAGTCTATAATATAATACTTCCCGTCTAAAAAAAAAAGGGCGTATAAAACCGTGTTATTAAAAATTTAATTTAAAACATCATGCGTATGTACAGAAAATATCGAAAGAACTTACATTAATAATTTTATTTCAAATGCATGTATCGTCTTCCTGTGGAATTTTTAAAAAATCTGTTTTATGTAATTGATTATTTATTAATTTATATCTATTAATTGCTTATTTATATTTTAGCAGCTTACATTAAAATACAATAGAATAGTTTCAATGCAAGGAAAAGATCAGAAGGATTCCGAATAAATTGTTCATCTGGCGTTCACCTTTCGTTCACCGTTCACTTTGCGCTCGTGTTTGCGCTTCGATTTCGTTCAGCGTTTGTTCACTGTTCGCTCTGCGTTCGTTCAGCGTTTGTTCACCGTTCGTTCACTGTTCAGGTGGGAATGTGGAAAGTTTCAGGGACTGTAGCTCTCTTCAGTACCTATCAACATTTGAAGCTTGATAAAACTATCTTGAATGGTTTCTTTAAAACTGAGCTAAACACAATTTATAATAAGAAAAATGAGTTCAAGTTCAAAGGAAAGGTATACAAAAATGTTGATGCAGTTGCATAGCTCTCATCAATATCTAACAGCATATGAATTTTAATGAAAATATCTTAAGTTTCTTTGAAACTGAGCTTTGAACTGAGCTAAACGCAGTGTGACAAAAGGACAGAAGGAGGGAAGGACGTAAGGATGGAAGACGGACATGACAAACACTATATGCTCTGGCCATATTCATTGCGGGAATAAAAAGCATTCTTATATAGCAATCTGCAATTTTATACCTATCCGATTAATTTCTTTACAGCTTTGCTTTATATCTAAGGACAAAACTAATTCCATAGCTGGAAATATTTTAAGTCAAAGTTCAAGTGTTATCAATATTAAGTCTATATCAGAAAATTTCATCGAAAGCAACGGGAGTCCATAATATATGCAGGAAACGAAATTGATAACTTGAGTTATATTGGGTGAGTAGGAAATTCAACATTTTAATTGAATTTGATTCAGTGAGAAAATTTCCATATTTTCCAAGCAGAGTTTCCCATCATCATATATAAGTGAGATATTATTTTCACTTATCAAATTAAAATTGTAGATGTCTGAGCTTGACCCCCCAATACCCATCGAGAGAAAGCTCTTCGTCTATCCCCACTTTGCACCTCAGATAAAATCTGTGACTTCACACTAGAATACACTTAAGCAGAAAGGAATATACGCCACTGAAAATGGACTCCATTAGAAGCTCACAAACGTAAGTTTTTATGACAAGAATTTATAATTCTAAAAACAATTTCTGAATCATCTGAATCACTGTAATATGTTGACAGTAAAATTGGTTTTAACTTTTTACACCACTGAATTAAAAACATATCCTATACAAACTATGACACTTTCAGTTATAAATTTCACTATTTAAAAAGATGAATGATTTAGTTGATTAGAAAAATAACTGCGTTTAATCATATTATAGATTTTAAAAAGTGAAAAATTTATTACATGTTTACGCGAATATAAACTTCACTTTAATCATTCTCAGTACTAGAGCCATACAACGCATATCAGAGTCGGTGTTTGTGGGACTGTGTCATAAAGTGGGGACCTCACAACTGGTGGCCATGAGGAGAGATGTAGTGGACATTAGGGATATGGTGATGAATCGAGGGAAAACATGCAAATACCAAAGTGTGACCATGACAAGTGGAAGTTACAGAGAAGGCTTCCGACTGAAAGGATCAGATATGGACTTTATGCTCTGGGCAAATGATCAGCGTGTGATCTGGGAATTGTCTCAGTCTCAGTATTACAACACGAACAGAACATCACTGATCCTCTGTGACTGTTCTGATAGTCCACCAGGATTTACTTTGTTATATTTACTGTCACCCAGCATGGACAGAGACATGCTTAGCGTTAGTGTTAGAGTGAATAACAGATATTATGTATCTAGTTCTAAATACAGACAGATCTATTTATCTGTATTGTCACCTGAATTCATTCCTCATGGACCCTGTGCCACTCAAACAAAAGGAGCACGGGAAATAGATAATGCCTTCTGTTTGGTTTGCGACTTTTGGCCTCCATTTGCCTCCTCGTGGATAGACAGATGTCACTCATGGCCCCAGCCTCATGTTGTTGATGATATAGTGAAAAATGGATGTCACTTTGTAGCAATTGGACATAAGCTAGGAAATCATGAAGATCATGAATGGAGAATTTCTTTCTCAAAAGCAGAATATAAACTTGTTTATGCAATGAATCACTGTCAATTCTTAACTTACGGCTTACTTAAATTGTTCTTATCAGAAATAATTAACAATGGACTAGATGATGCTGATAAATTACTGTGTTCCTATCACATGAAGACGGTAGTTTTCTGGGTGATTCAACAAAATACAATACACCAATGGTGTCCACAAAATCTTCTGGAGTGTTTCTGGGTCTGTTTGAAACTCGTCCTCAAATGGGTGTATGAGGGGGTTTGTCCTAACTTTTTCATTCCAGACAACAACATGTTTCTGAGTAAAATTCACGGCGTCAAACAACATCAATTATTTATAAGACTGTCAGAGTTGTATGGGAAGGGTTTAGCATTCCTGCTACATAGTCCCTCCATTAGATCTTATATTATAGATGTCCTCTATAACCCCAGAAACTCCATCTGTACAGATGATCATACTCTGTTTTCTGAGGTTGAGTTTGATAGATATCTATTTAATGAATTACTAAATAATCGTCTAGGTTCATCAGCCGAATGGGACATACAAATCTGCATTAGATATCTACATACAATAGAACAGGTGATAGGTTCACCCCTCCTGACACAGTATCAAGTCCTCAAGCTACAGACCATTACTGCATTCTTCCTTCAGAGAACTGCTTTTATATTACACATGGACGCTGACAACAAACTGAGGTATAGAGCTGACAAAATCTCCTGTCACATGCTGAAATTATCAGCCAAGTTTTGTATTATCACAGACATGCTGTACCTAGCCATGTATTATTACAAGACATTTAGATACATGGAAGTTTTATCTATAACAGAGATGATCATTTTCAAGTCTTCACACCCATCTGTGTTAGGGTCAAATGTAAATACGGAGACATATACTGAGGCTCTAAGGGGACAGTCCTGGTCTACAAAGATGAGACAGGCTGTATTAGGGGATATCAAACTTGAAAATAAAGTCCATTACATCGGTGAACTGATACCAGAACAACAGTCTGCTCTACAGAATGACAAGTCTAACTTAGACGTCCCAGCCTTTATACTGTTATACATGCTGGAGATTTTGTGCTACACACATGTAGACACAACGCGAGCACAAAGAGCTCTAGAATGTCTACAGACCCTAGTTCACTATGATCAGGGACTACTTAGAGATTTAAAAGACAGAGACATATCGTGGCAGATTCTGGGAATCTGTCAACAGCTGACAGGGAACTACCAGGCTGCTCTGTACTCATACCTACAGTCTCTCAGACAAAAACCGACCAACAAAATACGCACAGCTACAGAAATGAGAATACAGAGAGTTCGCCAACGGATTCCCGTAATTAAGGTGTAATATCCTTCTGATAAGAGAGATAACTTTCTGAGGACTATTTTCCATGAAATTCAATGAATCGTACGTGAAGTCAGATTTTACAGAATTCCTTTTAATGGGGTGGATGGGGGGGGGGGTAAAATAATTGATTCAGCAAATCAATTACATATTAAATAATAATATGTACATTTTAAAACAATTATATAAACAACTAATAACAATGTTTCTTTACAAAAAAAAGTATATGTTATTTTTAACATGAATGAAATCAATATGAATCGATGGACATTATTTATTGCACTTTGACTGGCTTTATTGATGTACAAAAAGTATTGCTTTTATTTTCTGAGAATGAATTAAATTGAAGTACAAAATATTTTATTTATATACATGTATTTCATTATTGAAAGACTTTATTTCATAGAAAATTGATATTTATTGTAAGAGAAATGACTAAACTGATGGATATAACAGAGGGATATTTAAATTATATCTTAAACTGGCCCATTTTTCGTAGAATGACTGACATGTGCTCATCATTAGTTTTTAGCTCACCTGAGCCGAAGGCTCAAGTGAGCTTTTCTGATCACATTTTGTCCGGCGTCCGTCTGTCTGTCTGTCTGTCCGTAAACTTTTCACATTTTCGACTTCTTCTCAAGAACCGCTGACCCAATTTCAACCAAACTTGCCACAGAGCGTCCTTGAGTGAAGGGGATTCAAGTTTGTTCAAATGAAGGGCCACGCCCTCATTCAAGGGGAGATAATTGAGAATTAGTGAAAATTTGGTGGTATGTTTTAAAAATCTTCTTCTCAAGAACCACTGTGCCAGGAAAGATGAAACTTATGGGGAAACATCCTCAGGTAGTGTAGATTCAAGTTTGTTCAAATCATGTCCCCCAGGGGTAGGGCGGGGCCACAATGGCCAACCAAAGTTTTACATAGAAATAGATAGGAAAATTCTTTTAAAAACTTCTTCTCAAGAATGACAAAGCCATAATTCATCATATTTATATGGAAGCAGGTCAGGTTGTGTAGATTCAAGTTTGTTCAAATCATGACCCCCGGGGGTAAGGCGGGGCCAAAATGGCCGAAGTTTTACATAGAAATATATAGGAAAATTCTTTAAAAATCTTCTTCTCAAGATTGACAAAGCCATAATTCATCATATTTATATGGAAGCATGCTCAGGTAGTGTAGATTCAAGTTTGTTCAAATCATGACCCCCGGGGGTAGGGCGGGGCCAAAATGGCCGACCAAAGTTTTACATAGAAATACATAGGAAAATTCTTTAAACATCTTCTTCTCAAGAATGACAAAGCCATAATTCATCATATTTATATGGAAGCATGCTCAAGTAGTGTAGATTCAAATTTGGGGTAGAGCGGGGCCAAAATGGCTGACCAAAGTTTTTATAGATATATATAGGAAAATTCTTTAGAAATCATTTTCTAAAAAATAACAAATCCATGATTAGTCATGGGACTACATTTGGATTTATACTTTACAATAAAAAGCCATTTTCTACTTTCTCCTACCCTTAGTGCTCAGGTGAGCAATGTGGCTCATGGGCCTCTTGTTTTTTTCACGTCAGTTTATTTTTTTTTTCCTGTCGGCGAAGGACAGATTTTTTTTATTTTCAATAAGATCAAGGACAGATTGCATGTATTTATTTTCTTCTTCACTGAAAAAAAAGCCAGACAAGCCTAAGTCTAAAAAGTCTAAAACTTTAATTCGGGGTGGATGGGTGGGGGGTAGCACTTACCAGGGACAAATTATTTATTTCATGTCCAGTCGAGATTACCGTATAAGTAGAATTTTTAGCGAGGATTTAATTTTGGCATTATTAGCGAGGGTGCTGACATCGCTAAAATTGAATATCGCTAAAAATTGATTGAGTATTATTTGCAATAGGTTCTTTAGTTAGCATTTTAAAATCGCTAAATTTACTTCTCGCTAAAAATAAAATACCATATTTCAGGTAGAAATCGCTAAATTTGCGTCTCGCTAAAATTTCCACTTATACGGTATTTATTTCCAAAAGAACGAGGGCGCTTTTGATAGGCATTCGGCAGGAATCTGGGCGTAATTGAAAATTAAGTGAAAAATTTATCGACATGTCATGTGAAATTTTAGCATTTTTTTTTTATTCATCAGGTTCCTGTGTAACAGGAAAGGAAAATATGTTCCTGATAATGAGCTTTGATTTGCTGAAAAATAACTTGAAAATTAGCCAGATCAGACATTTGGTAAAAAAAAATGGTACATTTTAAAACTCTTTTATCTATTTTTCTATCTCTCGGTCTTCTCTCCATAATTTTGAAATGTTATTTGTGTGTATT